TCAGCGGCCATGGCTCACGGGCCCAGCCGCTCCGCGGCATGTGGGATCTTCCCAGACCGGGGCACGAACCCGTGTCCCCTGCATCAGCAGGCAGACTCTCAACCACTGCGCCACCAGGGAAGCCCAAGAAATCACCTTCTTTGCTCATCCTTAAGAAGCAACTCACCTACTAGTTTTATCCTGAGATGGCAGGAATTCAGTCACATCTTCTGGTTCCACTTCTAATTCTAGTTCTCTTGCTGTCTCCACCACATCTGCAGTGACTTCCTCCATGAAGTCTTGAACGCCTCAAAGTCATCCATGAAAGTTGGAGTCAACTTCTTCCAAACTCCTGTGAATGTTGACATTTGTACCTCTTCTCATGAATCACAAATGTTCTTAACAGCACCTAGAATCGTGCGTCCTTTCCAGAAGATTTTCAATTTCCTTTGCCCAGATCCACCTGAGGAGTCACTTTATCTGGCAGCTATAGCCTTACGAAATGTATTTCTTCAATAGTAAGACTTGAAAGTTGAAATTACTCCTTGACCCTTGGGCTGCAGAATGGGTATTGTGTTAGCTGGCATGAAAACAACATTAATCTCTTTGTACATCTCCATCAGAGCTCTTGGGTGACCAGATGCATTGTCAATGAGCAGTAATAGTTTGAAAGGAATCTTTTTTCTGAGCAGCAGGTACCCACAGTGGGCTTAAGATATTCAGTAAACCATGTTGTAAACAGATGTGTTGTCGTCTGGAGTTTGTTGTTTCACTTATAGATCACAGGCAGAGTAAATGTAGCATAATTCTTAAGGACCCTAGGATTTTCAGAATGGTAAAGGAGCACCGGATTCAACTTAAAATCCCCAGCTGCATTAGCCCTTAACAAGAGAGGCAGCCAGTCCTTGAAAGCTTTGAAGACAGGCATTGACTTCTCCTCTCTAGCTATGAAAGTCCTAAATGGCACCTCCTTCTAATAGAAGGGTACTTCGTCTACATTGAAAATCTGTTGTTTGGTGTAGCCATCTTCATTAATGATCTTGGCTAGACCTTCTGGATAACTTGCTGCAGCTTCTACATCAACACTTCACCTTGCACTTTTATGTTATGGAGACAGCTTCTTTCCTTAAACCTCATGAACCAAACTCTGCTAGCTTCAGAGTTTTCTTCTGCAGCTTCCTTACCTCTCAGTCTTCATAGAATTAAAGAGAGTTAGGGCCTTGCTCTGGATTAGGCTTTGGCTTTAGGCAATGTTGAGGCTGGTGTGCTCTATCCAGACCCCTATAACGCTCTGCATATCAGCAATAAGGCTGTTTCACTTTATCATTCATGTGTTCACTGTAGTAGCTCTTTTAATATCCTTCAAGAACTCTTCCTTTGCATTCACAGCTTGGCTAGGTGTTTGGCACAAGAGGCCAAGTTTTTGCCCTGTCTCAGCTTTCAACATGCTTTCCTCATTAAGCTTAAATATTTCTAGCTTCTGATTTAAAGTGAGATGCATGACTCTTCCTTTCACTTGAACACTTAGAGGCCATTTTAGGGTTCTTAATTGGCCTAATTTCAATACTGTTATGTGTCAGAGAACAGGAAGTCCCAAGGAGAGGGAAAGAGTTTGAAATAATCAATATTCTCTTATATTTTTTCATGTATTTACTCTGTCTAGTGATCTTCATTCCTTCCTTTAGTTCCATGCTACCATCTGCACCATTTTCCTTTAACCTGAAGAATTC